ACATAGAATCCCTAAATCTCAGAAATGGAAGAAACTACAAAGATCACATAACCCACCCCCACCCTTATTCCAAACTTACGAACACCCACCAACCAGTTCCTTAGCAGATAAATGAACATAACCATTATTAGGGGATCCACTGGCCTCCAATCTAGAAAACTATTCTTTGCACTGATTCAAGAATCTATTTCTGGGTTGTTGTTAATTATCTGTCCTAGTTTTACTTTCTGGGACCCGTCTTCCACATGCAAGTCCTTCAAATACTTGAAGGTAGCAATCATAAGAGACAAATAATACGGTATTTCAGAGCTCAGGTCTTCACAGTCAGATAAACATCAAGTCAAATCTATCAAACATCAGTCTCCTATTAACTCTGGGACCTCAAATTTCTTTATTGAGCCTCAGTTTCCATATTTATGAAATGGAATATTGTTTGTACCTCATATGGTTGTTATGAGGATTAAACATGTATGGTTCTTAGTGCCTGACTTATAGTCACATTCAATACATTCTAGCTTCTATTACTACCATTACCACCACTGTTGTTGGCATCCTCTCTCCCACATGCCCGCCCCCAGTCCTCATCTCCAGCTAAACATCTCCACCTCTTTCAACCAATTACTTTAAGAAGCATTGTTTCAGGTTTCCTCACCATCCTTGTCACTCTCCTCTGGACACAATGTGATATGTCAGTGCATTTTAAAGTAGGGTTCCAGGAACTGGATACAATCCCCGGGTGCAGTGTGATCAGAGAAGGAGAGAGCAAAACTGTCCTGCTGAGTCCAGACAGCAAACTACAATCGAATTTCTGTAACCTAAGATCTTGATAGCATTCTTCGCAGTTACATCATGTCACCTACTTATTCAACTAAAACTCCCAAGCATTTTCAACACATATTTGAGCCATCCTATAATTGTGCAATTGGATTTTTAGCACCAAGTAAAAAATTTATCATCAACATTTACTTAATTCAATCCTGCTAGTCGGTTTCCACCTTGCAACAAACATCTCAGCCTAAAACCGTTAGGACAACTGGTAAAACATTTTGTCCTTTTTCAGAACTTTACCTGTTACAAAACAGCACCTTTGCCAAAGCGAAATCGTTAATAAAATACTGCCTAACAAAACAGTTTAAAGAAAATTCATTTTTATCGTATCATATACTATCACAGGCAGGAAAGAAAAGAACTTGGCTGCATATATTACAGAAACTTATAAAAATCTCTAAGAAATGTATAAAAATAATTTGCAAGCATTCTTTGGGGAAAAAAGCTGCTGTTGAATTGGTCCTTTTAGCAAGATTACATGCTTCTAGTTAACGATGGCAAAGGCAGGAATTTCTGTCAAACTCTGCCCTAAAACCAGGAAAAACAAATAAAGAGAAACAAAAACAGAAAACAAAATAGGAAACAGCCACATTCCCAAACCACAATTTATGAGCAACTGTAACCAAATGCAGTGGCACTTGCATCCAATTGAAGAAGCACAGTAGGAGCAGGAACAAGCATCTTGCAGATCTTCCGCAATGAGCAGCGTTCACAGAATTAATTACACTGACAATAGTGAGAGGAGGAGGAGGACGACTACTGGGAATTTACTGAGTGCCCACTAGCCCAGGCCCTGGGCCAAGCATTTTACATGTTTTAATTCATTTAATCCTCACAACAACCCTACTATCCCAATTTTATCAATAAGAAAACTAAAATATAGAGAGGTAAGTTGCCTAAGATCATAGAACTAGTAAGAAGAAAAGCCAGGACTCAAACCCAGGTATTTGACTGCAGAGTCCATTTGTTGTTCTAACTAACAAGTTATATTACCTCTTTGTTCCACAAATATATAGCCAAATCAGTAATTGCTTGCACGGAAAGACAAAGTCTGGGGTCACAAGAGCACCAACAAGCCCCATTCAACACCACAGAGTTAAAGGGGAGGTAAGATTGAAGGAGAAAAAGTACAAGCGATCTTTACGAGAGCAAGCTGTCAGTATGGCACGTCAGAAAAGTAACTGTAGGCACAATCAGTTGTGAAGAGGCTGATTTTTTTGATAGCCTGGGCCCAGTCAGGAGACAGAAACCAAATAGTAGTTCAAAGAGGACAATTTTAATACAAAAAAATGATTAAGCAATGATAGGAGAGTAAATATAAATACGGGAAGAGAACTAAAGAGAACCCTAGGACTGGGACAGTATCCATGGTAGGACAAACTTAGCATTTACAAGGGCCCAGATTCACTATCACAGTTCAGGCGGCAAAGGTGAATCTGGAATTCAGGGGTGATAATTGACAATTAGTACAACGAACACAGAGAAGTAAATGCAAATCAGCACTCTAAAGCCCTGTGACAAATCCACAGCTTCCTCCTAGCCAGGAAAGAGATATTCATGAAGGAACAGCACTGGCAGGAAAGGCATCTGAGTTAACGGGCCCAGATTAAATTCTAGCTTCCAACTGTCCTTGCTCACTCCCCTGACAATAACTAGCTGGATGTAAAACAACTGCCCCACTTAGATATGAGTAACAATCAGAAGGAACCATCATTACTACTCATTCCTCAAGATACTACAAGTTCTACAAACATTCAAAAAAGAAGTTACAATGAAACATAGCAAACAAAATCAGCTAAAGAACAAATGCTGGACAAATTATATCATGAGATGGAAGCAACAATAAACAGACACTTCACCATGGAGTCCAGGAAATTCAAGAAAATAGT